CAGAGATCACGATGCTCAATATTAACCTCCTAATACTCACCGGAATAAGACTGATGCTCATTAAGAATGTGTTAATACTCATTTAGCGGAAGCTGCAAATTTTACTTAATTTACCAAAAATTCCACCGGTTGTACAGTGCTCTCTGTACAACTAGTTATACCATATACGAACTCTTCATATGTTTAGTACTCCCTTCATCTCTTAAAACTTTGTCATCTTTCTTTTTTTCCCACAAAAACTTTGTCATTTTGTCTTTTAACCAATCAATTTGTAGTTCGTGTCATTGTTCTCTCCTCTACACAAACTCAACTACACAATTTTTAATTTATAGTTTTCTGTGCCAATCAAACTTGGCAATTATTTGAGGGACAAAGGGAGTGGTTTATTTGATCAAGTTCTATATTTGATAAAATAGAAAATGAAAATATAGTAGTCCATCTCATCTTCTTTATTTTATTATTTAAATAAAATAAATAAAATGTGAAAGTAAATAAAAGATAGTAAAAGAAATAATAAAGTATTATAAATTAACACCTAATTTGTCGTACTAAGACTAATGACATGAAAACGTCTGCATCGATCATTTCAACGATTAGAAAAAGGATTCATCTCTCGCAAAAGATAAAATTATAGTTTATTAGCATTTATAATATTACATAAAATATTTAAAGAAGACTAAATAAGTAATTTTTTTAAATGAATCGTGTAAAATGTATATTCTACTCTAGATTAACTGAAGTTGAAATAAACATATTGTCTCAATAATTTTCTGTGACATTTCTTTTTTCTTTGGTTCACTGAGTTTATGTAGCTCCAAATATTATAATGCATGTGTAGCTCTAAATCATTCTTACATTACTGTCCCTACTATTTCAATTCAACATTAGCTAGATATACCTTTTTTGAATAGCTGCACATGTCTTGATCTTAATAGGATCATAGTAAGCATTATTAATATCACATGTCTTGAAAAAAAAATCTTAGAAGACAAATGAGAATAATTATGCAGCGTTTGATCTAGGTATTGTACAAGCCTGTGCATATCATAAAGTTTCAATTCAATTAAAAACATCATTTATACATGCATAGATTAAAATTGAAGATAAAAATAGAGACTAAAAATTGTAGTTAAAAAGTCCTAGTTTTTAATCTAGAGACTCTAATTTAATTGGACCATTACTTAGGCCAAATTAAACAAAGATTGGCCTTAGTAATGATCCTAGTTTTCAGGTCAAATTACTTAGACTCTATCTAGTTTTATCTAGACTAAGAAAGTTTGATCTAGTTTTAATTTACTTAGTCCTGGGATCATTACTTAGGCCAAATTAAAAAGTCAGCTACCTGAAAATTTGTGGGCTGCTAGTTTTCTAAAAATGTATTCTGCCCAGAGCTGATCCTAAGAGTTTTTTGGTCTGAGTCGAACTGTGAATAAAGGTCCTGAGAAATTTTTCGGGAGGAAAGTATATGTTCGATTCCGACCCGGACAGGAACTGTCGTTCGGATGGAGGCGTTTGGACGCCTTCTCGGTGGAATTTTTTGTTAAAATATTTTATGTCATGTTCCTCATCAAGTCTAGTTTATACACAAAAAAGGTCAGCTAAAAATTCAATCGGGAAGGCCGTCAAATGATATTTGGAAGATAAATGTGCCAAAATATACATATAAAACGCAGTTAACTTCCAAAAATAATTTGACGGCCTTTTTGATTGAATTTTAAGCTGAAACATTTTGTGGATAAACTAGATTTGATGAGGAACATGCTATAAAAATTTCATCAAAAAATTCCAGAGGGAAGTCGACCAAACGCTACTGTCCCGATGGTGGTTCCTATCATGAATTCCGGACATGAACTTTCCTCTATATAAAGGTAACTAATAAATTTATAGGCCCTAATTTTTCCCCAAATTTGTGGGCGCAGTTGCCTCTTTGCCTCATCTAGAGGTTTTCTGCCAACTCTTTTTGTACCGTAACTCTTTTAGTAACTCTTTTATTAACTCTTTTAGTACCTCTTTTAGTAACTCTTTTCTTTTTCATTGTTTTGGTACTTCTTTTGTGAGTACTCACTTTTTGTTTTTCATTTTATGAGTACTTCCTTTCTCATGAGATGTATGGATAAGTAAATTACAAAGTACATGATCAAGTTTTAAGTCTATAATAAGGGCATCATCAAAATCCAAAGGGACCTAATAAAACCCCTCTACCTTTATTTATAAGAGAAATTCGAACATTCTAATACAATTGGGAATGGTAGACGAGTGGGCTTAATTAAATAAAAAACATGTTTCTCTCAACTAAAACTCTGCTAATAAAAGACTAATTAATCAAAGATAATAACAATTAATTTGAACACACTAAATAATGTTCTAACAACTGATCAGTTCTATGTCTGACTCCAGGTAGCTCTGAGCTATTGATTTGTTTTGTCCCTTCACTACAAAAAAACAGCCCGTTTGTGACGGATTTTTGTCACAGATTCGGACCGTGACAAAGTTGTCACGGGCTTTAATTTGTCACGGAATAATCACAGAAATATTTGTCACGGAAAAATCTGTGACAAAATCCGATACAAATGTTTGTCACGGAAATATTTGTCACGGAAAAATCCGTAACAAATGTTTGTCACGGATAAAATCCATGACAAAAAGCCTCCGATGACCGGCAATTTACTCTGCTCAAATACTCCCATACTCCAATACGTGCTACTTTGTTATTATATTCTTCTTACTCAATTGTCCAATTTTGCGTATATATACCTGTGTATTACGTAGTATTATATGCGTTGCCGACGATATATATATATATATATATATATATATATATATATATATATATATATATATATATATATATATATATATATATATATATATATATATATATATATATATATATATATATGCTTGTGTACCAACTATATATATAGCGTAGCATCAATTAATCCATATCTCAAAGAATTTGCACCTTTTCCTATCATACAACTTTCCCCAATTTTCAGTTTTTTATCATATACGAATCATTCTACTACTCCACTTTTTGTTAATAATCATTAAAGCCTAATTAGTGGATGTGTCCTTCCAATTATGAAATCAACTGCCCCATTTGGCCAGCTACCATGAAATACCGATTCCATTCCACAAAAAATTGTTAGTTTTCACTCTCTTGGTCAATTGGAGATAAGCTCCGGTCAATCGATTTTTTTAATGTATTTATGTGAAAGTTATAATTTCTATTCTTGTTAGTTTACTCTATAGTACCCATAACGGTCATTCATACCATACTTTTGTTCACATGAACATATTAAAATGTTGCAGTTGAATTATTTAAATCTAAATTAAAAATGATCAAATGATTTGGATCAATAATCAAGTGAATAATACAATGATTTGGATCAATAATCTGTGACTAATATGCTCGAATTTAAAAAAAAATACACGTAGTCATGGACATGTCCGTGACTAAGATAAAAAAAAAATTAATTAAATGTAGTCACGGACAGTGTCCGTGACTAACGTGCTGGAATAGCAATTCTGGTCAAGAATTAGTCACGGACCTCGTTCGTGACTAATCCGTGACTACAGTTAGTCATGGCCAATGTTCAGTGACTACATTTTAGTCACACGGAATTAGTCTCGGACTTAGTCACGGACAAAATCCGTGAGTAACATAGTTAGTCACGGATATTTTACACTGCGATCCGTGACTAAGTCCGTGACTACATGCGATTTTTTTTGTAGTGATAGGTACAATATCTCATTTTTAAAGGAAAAATTGATTGTAATAATCACAACTATTGGCGGTCCGTTTATAATAATCCCAACTATCGATTATCTCAGAATAATCCTAACTTTAGAGACCTTCCGCCAATAATGGTCCATGACCAGATATGACCTGCTATAACAAGTGGATTTTAAATAGAAATAAAGCATAAAAATTAAAAGTTGAATTATTTATAGGGATTGCTAGTTATATCTCTTCTCATCCACTTTAGAAACTATAGGAATTTATTTATAGCCAGTCATGTCGGACCATTACTGACGGAAGGTCACTAAAGTTGGGATTATTCTGAGATAATCGATAGTTGGGATTATTATAAGCGGATCGCCAATAATTGAGATTATTACAATCAATTTTTCCTTCTTTAAATGAATGTCGGAGTTGTCAGCTATACTAACTTCAATGTATGGTAACTTCAAAATTTGTTTATATTATTATTAGCTATTTTAAGTATAAATAAATAATAAAATAATGATATTATTTTTTCAAAGGAAACTGACTGATTATATTAAAATCCAAGAATCAACGATATTACAAAATTTTCAAAACTGAACATCCTTTTGCTATCAAACTCACCACAACCCGAAAGTCCCCTCACCCTTTGATCAGACATAAAAATGATCACCCTGATGAATAGAGCAGATCGAGTCGCTAACTATCTGAGAGATTTGAAGATTATCTCGGCTTTTGGAGCTACCTTAATTACTTCTTAGCATAAAATATATACCCAGCTCATAAACGAACTGAAAGATAACAATGTTAAGATGCAAACTGAACCAGCCTGTCACTTCTTGAGATTGTAGTCAATTTCAATTGCATGCCGGGTTAGGATGAAAATAACAATTTGACCTTGAGATTAGTACTACCTTCATTCCTATTATAACTTCCAAATAGGTTTGACACACAATTTAAGATAGTGGGTATTATGTGGTGGAGAGATGCAGAAGAAAGAGAAATGTGTAAGAAATGTTGTGAAACACAAATTCTTTACCAAAAAAGAAAATTAGAAGTTTTAATTGGAACGGACGAAAACGGAAAGTTGGAAGTTATAACAGGAACGGAGGGAGTATGACGTGTATGTCTTCACGTTAACTTTTACTACGTATTAATTTGTACAATTAACTAATTAGACATATATACTCCGTACATTATTAAGATGAATTTTCCATTACCTTAAAAACATGCTATGATGTGTTTTGAATTACAAATATTTTCCGTTCCACCACCTCACTTATTCCGCTTCTAGCTAGATCGATCTCATATTCTCATACAATTCAAACTCCGGCCATATAAATATCTCCTCCTCGTAAACTCTCAAACACCATAAGAAACAACATAAATCCTGCCTTAATTAATTACACATTGATCACGAAACAGAGATATAATAAGTATAATCGATTATAAATATATTACCAAATACGGGTGATTAGATAACAATGGAGAGTATAGTGAAGGAGGCGTCACAAAAGGCGGTGGTGATTTTCACCAAGAGTTCATGTTGCTTGTGCCATGCAATCACGCGCCTCTTCCACGAGCAAGGGGTTAGCCCTTTCGTCTACGAGCTCGACCAGGACGGCGTTAACGGGCCCGAAATGGAGCGGGCCCTCGAGCGCTTCGGGTGCGAACCCGCCGTCCCGGCTGTCTTCGTTGGCGGGAAGTTCGCCGGTTCGGCCAACACCGTCATGGCTCTTCATATCAATGGCTCGCTCAAGAAGATGCTCAAGGACGCCGGCGCTCTCTGGCTCTAACTCGGCTCAGCTAGCCAGCCGGCGCGCGCGGCTTGTATGTACTTATATATGCTGTTCCCCTTTCCTGCCTAATTTAATGACGACAACCGACTTATTAATTAACAAATGTTAGTTAATTAATGATAAACGTGTTGCTAATCTAACGTCATATATGTATGTGCTATATATTTAGTCGAGTTTACTTGAGAATTGAGATCAATCACTTCTGTGTCTAATCTCCTTTAATTTGTGGTAGCAAGTAATTAATTAAGTTGTCAGTTTTTTCTTTCTTTCTAAAAAAAACATTTGGAAAATTATAAAAAGAAAATAAATTGGCCTTAGTAATGATCCCAGGACTAAGTAAATCCTAGTTTAGAAAGAAAATATATTTAGTCCAAATTTAGAAAGAAATGTGATTTGGTGACTTACCTGGTCGGGTATACTATATATTTATCCGATCGGGGTATGAAGTGAAACACTCAAACACGAAGCTACTGGGAAAATATAACTGATACCCGGTCAGGTAGTCCCTATACCCAGTCAGGTATGAAGTAACTTTGGGAAAAAAGACATGCTGAAGAATGCAAAGACGTGAAAAAGATAAGATTTGACAAATACCCGATCAGATATCTCAAATACCAGGTCGGATATCTGGCACAGCCCCTTCAAAGAACCTATAAATAGCACATTTTTCCTTCCTATTAATCATCTCTTCTTCCATATATATAAGCTCAACTTAGAATATTATTTTCTTTATATTTTTCTAGCATTGTTTGGTCTCCAAATGAGGAGCTAAACTTCCATTTCTTGGTTTTGCTCTTGAAGCTTATTAAATGTTAAAGTTGTGAGTTATTTCCTTACTTCTTTCCTTGAATATTATTTCTTCCCTTATTTTATCTCTATATTAAAATAAGGGATAATTAGTTAACATTGTTTAACTACTAGAAACGATCAATGAACTGATGTTTAATCATTGATGATTTAACAAGTAAGTAACTTCGGGTTATTAATGCATGGTCGTAGTTAATAATCTTAAAAGAGATTAATTGTGTTGGTTAAACCAAAACCATTGTGTTGAGGTTATCAATTTTGATTGATTTCATCAAGGCGTTAAGAGATTAAATGTTACTCCGTACTATCAAGTCGGTATATGGCGGTGTTCTATACTTGGATAATAACAACGATTATTAATGAACGATCGTTGTTAATAACTAGCCTCGATGAATTGGAGATAATCCTCGATTGAGTATTCAAGAGGGGATAAGGTATAGATATAACCAGGATAAACAAACATATCAACAAGTGGAAAGTAGCAAAGTCAAGTCTTTTATCTCATTAATTAAAATCATATAAGTCGATCATCTTAGTGTTTAATTAAATAAAATCAAACAATCCGAAAACCCCCTTTTAATTACTAGTTTCATACAAGAAAAGTATTCATTTCCCTATGGATACGAACTCTACTACACTATACTACGTAGTAGTGCTATTATTGAATTTATTTTGAGGCACACAACGACTTTAGTGCCGTCAAATTTGGCGTTGTTGCCAGGAAAAGGTAATAATTTTTCTTTTGTAAAAAAAATTACTTCTATTTTTTTAGCTTCATGAGAGTATATGGTGAAAACTCATGAGAAATGAATTTTTAGAAATCATAAGTGAGTCCATTTCCAACAACTTTGAAGAAGTTGTTAACATGGATACCAACACATCATTGCTAGAGAGTAAAATTTCTGGCTTGACCTCTTTAATAAATGAGTTTCACTTATGCTCAAAAGCTCAAAATGTCAAGGCCCACAACATATGCATGTCTCACAGGCATCTTACTGATTTTTGCCCGAAACTCCAAGAAGAATACTTTGAACAAATTGATGATAGATGTTGGTTTCCAAAGGAAAGTACCGCACAAGAGGTATGATCCATTCTCCAACGCTAACATCTCCGCGGAGGACATGGTTCGGGTTCTTGCTACCAACGTGACCACCATGCAATAAAATATTGTGCAAATCCAAAATGAGATCAAGTCTAGCATTTTAAACTTGGAAACTCAAGTGAGTCAAATAGTCGGAGCCGTGAACATGCTTGAAGCAAAGAATTCGGGAAAACTTCCCTCTCAAATAGAACATGATCCTAAACAGCAAACTATTGCAATCACACTAACGAATGGGATGGAATTATAAAAGGAGACTCAATATCCAGAAAAAGAAGAAGAAGAATAAGAAGAAAAAGACATGGAGCTCCAACTGGTCAAAGAAGAGGATAATTAAGCCGAATTTCAAGAAGATGAATGCCGAGTACGGACGCAGGAGACGCTCGTCTCCACAAAGTGGCGGGAAAGCAAGATTCTGGCGGGAAGCGCGTTTATTGAGGAGATTTGGTGGTTGGGGCTTAGTCACCCACAGTCCGCCACATCAGCATGCTCAACCACCATTGGGCAGTATAAATAGAAGCATTTATTTCATTGTAAATGGTTGATAACTTAGCACTCTAGTATTATAGCATTGTAACAGCTCGTATCATCACATTAGACGAACGGCCTCACGCCTAAAACTGTTGTATTTTGACTTCCTTGACTTAATAGAATTTAGCCCACTCCATGCGGGCCTTCTTTGCCCATCTCTGCTTGTTGTTGTCTTACTTTTCACACTTCTTCCTCTCGAAATCCTTGGGTTGCGTGGTGGAACTACGGATTGAAGGAATAAACTTCAACACTTATACATATTGTTGGGTTATCTATTCTCCAAAGACTTTAGGCAATTGGAGTTACCTCCCTCCTAATTCAGGGGACATACGTCCCCAAAAACAGTGATGGTAGCAAGTCGGCGTAAACTGCCAACACTTGTAGCTTTATCAAGTGAAGGATGTAAAGAAACTTTCAATCCAATGTTGGTTGGATGCAATTTACTTTTGTCTTACGTGAATTGTTTTTTATAGTATTGCATTTTACTTTTGTCTTGCGTGAAAAGTACTAAGACTTTTCAACCAAACTAATATTCAAAGTTCTGAAGTACTAACATTTCTATGTCTAGTAAGAGAGTGAGTGTGCATTCAAGTTGTGATGAATCTATAGGTTGAGGTTTGAGGTGAGTGTAAGGAGACGATTTTTCATAATAATAATATAGACAATTTCTGTTCACAAAACAATACAGTTAAAGGGTAATATGGGTATTAGTGAAAGTAACACATATATCTCAAAAGATGGAGTTACGAGAACCAAGAGTTTAGACGAATACATTTTATATTGTACGTTAATTAGAGAGTAACTGATGCATTGTAGACACACAAGAATAGTCTCTGAAACTACAAAACCAGATTACGGAGTATGTTTTATTCGCAAGAGTGTTTATCATAACTCATAAGGGGTGTTGTGACAAGTCGGGAACCTGAATTCACACCAAGTGTTCCACCCTCGTCCATAGTTGCCACGCAAAAAAACTTACTCGAAAAGCCTGGGAAAAGGTTTAATATCTCCAGTAGTAGGGTAGGGGTATGCAAAACAGAATTATCCAAGAAAAAAGAACAAAACAGTCAAAACCAATCTCACCCACACAAACATGAAATGCAACGTTTTTTTTTTTAAAACCCTACCTCTTTATTACAATGAAAAAAAATACAAAAAGTAGGAGAATTAGGCCAAAGCCTACTCGAATTAAATTACATAAAGATAACTAATTGCATCAAACTTAAGAATTCCAACAAAATGTTTAAAATGGTGGTCATTAGCAGCAATGGAAATACATTTGTAAGCTAGGTATTAAGCGGCAGTGTTGATCTTCTGATGAGTGTGGACAACAATCCAATTGTAGCCGTACAGTGCTCTTCTGATCTTCTGTATTCGTGACCAATATTTCCAAACCCTTGCTTAACACCTCGGCTAGGCTTACAAAAACCTTTAGGGGCTCCATTAATTAAAACCGAAAATCAGGTGGCATTCAGGTTGTTCTGAATAAGGTTAACAAACATGGGGTGAAAGCCAAATTTGACTAAAGCATGAGTAATAAAGGGCCAAGATATTCTGTCAAAAGCTTTCATCATATCAAATTTAAAAATAATATTTTGACCCCTAATCTTGTTATTAATATGGTTTACCAGTTCTCTCAAAACCAGGATGTTAGCCGCTATGTCCTTGCCTTTTTGAAAAGCAGTTTGGTTATCAGAAATGATTTTAGGCAGCAAAGGAGTAATACGAAGGGTAAGAATCTTGGTGAAAATTTTGTTTAGAATATTACCAAGACGAATAGGTCTATATTTTGAAAACTGGTAGGCATTATTGTCTTTAGGAATAAGCGCAATAAGAGTGTGACCACTGGCCAATAGACTTTGGGGTAGGAACACCACAGAAAAATTCCCTCACAGCATTATAATGATCAAGATGAATAATATCGTAAGTAAATTGGTAGAAGAAACCATCAAAACCATCACTACCCGGAGCACTATTTTTATTCAGATCAAAAACCGCATTTTTAAGTTCTTCGTGAGTGATAGGATTGAGCAAGGTAGCATTGTCATCATTGGTGATAACCGGACTGATAAAATTCAGATAAGAACTAGGATTAAGCGAATCGGTAATATCATTAGTAGTAAGGAGCTCACTGAAAAAATTAATAGCAGCATGACTAATATCCTCATTATCATCAATCCAAGACCCGTTATCCAATTTGATTTTATGGATGCTCATCTTCTTATGTTTGGCTTTTAAGGAGAGATGGAAAAATCTGGTATTTGCCTCTCCCTCATTTAGCCTTTTTACTTTAGCCTTCTGCCTATAGAAAGAGTTCATATAAGTAGAGGCTTGAATGTATCTAGCCTGAGCTTGTTTCAAGAGAAGTTGGTCTTCCACAATTAGGGAATCAGAGGTCTTAGCTTCAAGAATACTTGTTTCATTTTCAGCTTCAGACAGTTGGTTAAAAATGTTTCCAAAAATGTCATGATTCCAATTTTTCAGGTCAATTTTTAATCTTTTAAGTTTTTTTGAAAACAGCCACATGTCGTAGCCATCACAGGGAGTTTCCCAGGAGGCTCCAACAGTGTCCAGAAAAGAGGGGTGCTTAGTCCACATGTGCTGAAATTTAAAACTTTTGGGGCCAGAGAAAGGGGCAGAGTTCTAGAGTTCTCTTGAAGAAGAAGAGGATTGTGGTCCGAAACAAATTGTTAATTTTTTGTAGAGTTAGATTCCAGTTAAGTTGTAAAAACTCATTTGAAAGGAGTTCCCTGAAAATTAAGCTCAGACAGACTATTGGAGAAAATGAAATCATTGAACTCATCCATGTCAATCTTATTAGGGATACTCTTACCCTTGTATTCAGTATCAGTGCTGATGACATTGAAATCACCACCCAAGAGCCAAGGTTGACTTCCAATGCTATTCCTGAAAGTAGTCAGTTCCTCCCACAGAATTCTTCTAGTGATTCTGTCATTACCACCATAAACAATAGATACATATACAGGGAGGTCATGCTGGTTAGTGGTGAATGACAGATTAATACATTGAGAAAGGTAAGACAGAATGTTGACAGTGTAAGAATGGTCCCACATGATCCAGATTTTGTTAAGAGAGTGGCCAAAAGCATTAGAGAAACCAAGCTGATTCATTTTATTATGCAGGTTGTTGGAAGAGATCTTAGGTTCAATTAGAGCAAGAAAATTGATGTGATTAGTTTTAGATAAAAGTTTAGTACGATCAGTGGATTGAGAATTCCCAATCCCTTGAATATTCCAAATGAGCATACTAATCATAAAAAAGTGTGGGCTGGGGCAGATTTTTTGGGCCTGAGACTGTAAGGTTCTCTGGAAGATGAGGGTTTTGAAGGGCCAGAGGAGGTGCTTTGATTATGTTTGGTTTTTTTGGGTTGTTCCCCATCAGAAAGGGTTTCTCTGGGGCCCAAATCCATAACCACTTCCTGGATCACCTTAGTACCTTCCTGGTTCAAGTCTTTGAGGACCAGGTTGTCATTAGTGTAGTTCTGATCTGGGGACTTCAGAATTGGTGACTAAGGTGTTGTTATTGTGCTGCCAATTATAGCAGCAGCAGCAATGTTTTGGACATTAGATAAAAAGATCTTGTGGAACATAATCATTTTCAAGGGGTTCCTTGGTAGTATCATTATCATTCTGAGGGGTACTAACAGTTAAAGTTTCAGGATCATTTTCGGGAACAGTGGGGGCTTTATCAACAGACAGAGTGGTATTATTATCCAGCGCATCAGAAATATCATCAGTAGGGACTATATCAATCATAGGGCGTTATTTGGCTGAATCATTCATACCCAGGGGGGAAACCTCAGCTATTTGTTCAGATGGATTATCCTCAAGTATCTGTAAGGCATCCTCGAATTGTTCAGTTTGAGGTCCATCATCCTTATTTTCAGAAACACCAGAAGATTGACCTCAATAGTTATCCTCAAGTATTCCTGACTGTTTCATGCAAACTAGTGAGATGTCAAAATATTACTTGGGGTGAAATTGACATTATTTTACTATTGCCTGGTATTTTAAATCCATCCTCCTTACGTATATCCTTATTCATTACTCCATTTACTGGAGCGTGTAAATCATAATAATGTTCATCTAACCGGTCTCGAAGTCCAAACTAACATTACCATACCCCAATGTTTCCTGTTGAAAATAAGCAACAAAAGCAACGAATAAAGGTACGGAGTACACCATATGGATAAAGAAGCATTTGAAGGCTACAAACATGTAAAGTAAAGCAACTTCAAAGAGAATTGTTCAGCAGTATCAAAACATAGAGCCAGTGCCTTCTTCATATGGTGGCTGCATAATCCAGATTACATCTGAAGCCGATCCAACAGATTCATTGATCATAAGAAGAGGCACAACAAACGTGTAGCAGGAGGGAAAACTCAGACAAACATAATCAACTCGGGCCTGCTGTATGTATTGTTACCCTCATCCTCCAGAACAGGGTAAGCCGCCACGAGAGCATCCTGAGCTCCGATGTACAGCGAATTATAAACCTTCCAGTAAACCTCCCTAACCTTCCGTGCAGGGTGAAATAGTCCCTGCAGACAATAATTGAGGATCACAGCAGCACCAAGCGCCACCCGCATACCTTCAATTGCCTCCATGACTGCATTAATCACATGAGGGGATGTTTCAAAAATATTTGGCCATACGTAATTCAGAAGGTGGACCAGTGCATCTTCACATCCAAGGCCAGCTACCCCTAAAGCCATGTGCTTCACGGCAGAAGCCGCCGTTTGCCTGTGTACCAAATCCCTATCCATCAAAGCATCCTCAAGCAAAGGGGTCACAGCATATATGTAGTCCTTCCCCATCTCACCAATATACTCGAACAGAAAGGACAGGGATTTTAGGACGCCGTTCTGGACGTTAAGCTCCGGGACCCGGTATTCATTCATCAGTGCGGGTAGGACTGTGAAGGGAGAGCAGGTTTCAGCCACGATTGCAATTGCCACTGTTGTGCACACACGGTTTTGACGTTCCTGCACCTTGAGGTTGTTCAGCAGGGTAGCAAGGACGTCCTGGGGTCCGATTGCCTTGGCTATATATCCAAACGTGTTGACTGTTGCCCGCCGGATACCCTTCTTATGAGCCTTGAGCATCTCAAGTAGCTCGAAACAGATCCTCATCCATTCTCTAGCGGGTACAAACTCGGCCCCACGATCTGCGATACGCCCGACCAGATCGATACAGTTCTCTTGGACTTTCTCGTGCCGATTTTTCAAAATAGGAGTTAATCGGGGAAGCAGGTCTTTGATTGGAGGTGTCATCTTAGTCATACCAATAACATTCACAATCGCCTTGAGGGCACCCAGAATGGATCCAAGAACCTCAGGGTATTCTTCTCCCAAGTACTCATACAGGACGACACCAAGATGGC